AAGGTCTCGGAGTTGGTCTGGAAAAGAACTACCTTGTCAGAGAGCTGTCTTTTGACCCTGCAGGCTAATTGTGCGTACAGATAAAAAGATCCTTTGCTCTTTCAGGCTACAAAGACCCCGATAGGGGATCTGGGAAGTGCTCTTACTGAAGGATTGAATAAAAGAGGGGGTTGAGAGGCACGCTGAATGAAGAAGCCTTGGCTATCTTCCTCAGATCAGGTTTTGGGGAATGGGGGGGAATAATAAATCTCAGCAGCCTTCTCTTCCCCACCCATAAGCCCACAAAGCTTTCCTGACTCAACATCCCCAGGTGTCTTGTGGTTTTAATCCATCAGCAGACAAAATAATGCGGTAACACTGACAAATAGGGGCAAAAGTAACTAGATAGTAGCTGACGTAGCATTATAACTGCCTATAGCGTGTTGTGAGCTTGACAGTTAAGTTTACTTAAAAAAAAGTTTTATTAACTACTATGTGTAATGAATAACAGTTCTGATTTTAACATTTTCTACAGTGAGCACAAAGGGCTCCAGCAACTTTCAGGTTCTGTGTTTTGTTATAAATGCTGGGAGGGGGAGGGAGATACTGAAGTGATCACAGCAATATCCTCATGTTCACCCCTCTGGATGTGAAAGGGGAGCTTGGGGCAGTAAGGGTTGCTGTGCACGAGACCTTGCCATCTTACCCTAATGAAAAATAACATCCCCTCCTTACCAATGTCCTCATAATTTTGTTGTTCTTTCATGAGAGGGGAGGGGCATTCATACTGGGCAACTGCCTGCCTTGAACTTTGAAGACTTTCAAACTTCACCCTTCTGTGTCTGGGAACCGCACCTGATGGTTGTCTGCGCAAGGACTCAAAGCGCAGAAGATTTATGAGGGGCCAAGGTAGTCTGGCGGTTCATACATTAGTGTATCTGCACAAATCTGTCGGGACTGACTTTTCATCGGTACCCCTCCGTCCCGTCAGGAGTAAAGGACCTTCCTACCTTGTCATTACGCTTCTGGAAACCATTCTGGAGGTCCCATGCACAGCAGCAGAAAGACGGCTCCTCTCTGCGGTCGCTCTGTCCCTCAGCGCTGCAGGGGTGCACGTGGAGCGCCAGCGAGTCCCCCTCCTGCAGCTAACGGGCCTCACCGGGTGCTGCTGGAGGTGGATTAATACCCTTCTAAAACCAAAGGAAAAAACAACTGGTCGGGTCATTATACAGCTGGCAAAGCGATGTTCAAGGGTTCTGCTCTCTTTATTTTAGGGTTTTGGGGTTTTTTTTTAATCTTTCGTACAAAAGCAATGTTCTCATTTGGGTTGCGTGGCTTCTGCAACACCTGGACTGTTGTGAAGCGGGGAAAGGAGGAATCCTGCTTGGTCCACACCTTTGCTGTGCGGCAGGTGAAGCAGTCAGGGGTACTCCAGACGGGGGCTCACTGCTACTCCGTTCCCATCTCGCCTTCGCGCAGCCAACCCGAGGGATGCGTACATGCCCTTTGTTTAGGGGAAAGTACGTGGGGCTGTCGGCTGGTTCAGGCAGCGAGACTGGCACTTCCACGGTAAGCGCGTGCAGGCCGGGGGCTTGTCAGGGCTTTCTCAGGACCTTACAGTGTTCGGTATTTTCTCCTGAACGTCTCAAAACCAAGAGCCATTGCTCCGTTCTTCTGAGAGCCCCACAGAGATGTCCTATCAGCCCCTAAGAGCAGGAACCGTTTCTCTGGATATACTTGGTATGATTTTATCACAAAAATATAAAACTTAAAACCAGACATCCCTCATAATGTATTAAACTTCTTCAATTACCTGCTAATTTTTCTTGCAGTTGTCTTTTTCATCTAGAAGCATTTTATAAAGTTTTAGGAAAATGTTCACTTTTGGCTGTTTACATCTTGCATTTCAAGCACTTTTTTTTTCTCATAGGAATCACCAAATATTCATAATTCTGCATCTCGCTTCAATATCAATAAATGTCTTAATGAAATGTAACTAGAAAATATTTTTTACGCGTTTGAGCTGGGAAAACAATCTTTGCTTTATTGCAGCATAAACTTGTTTGTGCTTTTGAATTCCTATTTTGTCCCCCAATGAGCATCTTTCCACCAGGTGTCCTTGACTTTCTGCTTAATTTCGCGGGACCCTGATGGTGAAGGATGGTTACTCCCTTCAATAACATTTTTAAATCATTTGGCCAAACTGGGCTCAGACTTCTTTACAGTGCCGTACGTTAGGTAGAGTAGCATCACAGGCAAACAAATTTCCTCTTTCATGCTGTCTGGCTTTGCCTAGCTTTTCCCCCCTGACTAGGTGACCCCGAATCACTTCCAAACGGGGTAAACCCCCTGTGTGTCCTCCTGGCTGTTCTGCCAGCCCCAACGCGCGGCCGTGCATCAGAACTCCAGCTGGTTAGGTCAGCGTGAATCACGGGGAGGCAGGGGACAGCAAGTCCTCTTCAGTGCTCCGGTTACCACTGTCTTTTCTCATGGTTTGATTCTCTGTTTTCCACCACCATCAAAGCTGCGGAGGGAGCAGGAGCCAGGAAGGCCACGGAGGTCGGAGAAGCATTTACGTGATGGGGCCACTGCCCAGCCAAGCTCTTACACCTCCAGCTCCGTCTGCGCTCAAATTGCTGGAGATCTGCCTCCCGGGGGGCGATGCCCTTGACAGAGGTGAGCTGGGATCCCTGCACGAGGCAGTCTGTGCGGGTAAGGGAAAACCTCCACCAGCAGAGAGCACAAAAGGGTGCCAGACACCGGTTTTCAGGCAAAAATATGAACAAACAACTTGAGAGCGTATCAGATCTCCTGGCTTGGTTGCACTGAAAAGGACAACCGGGAGTGAAGCTGTCCTGCCTTTTATAAATTGTTGATGGGTACACAAAATGCATGCATAGTAGGTGAATAATGCAGGGTGCCCTGAAGGTACCCTCACATAAAACTCTGAAACGGAAGGGAATGGGGGAAAAGCTTCGCACTGCCGCCAGGTTGAAACTAAGGAAGCCCCATGATCGATCGGAGCGCTCATGGGCTGCAAGCCCTGCGTCTGGAGGCACAGGCTGTTGCTGAATTTGAAGAAAGGGCATAAGAAAGGCTGACGCCACTGGAATAAATACAAAGTCTGAGCAGAGTAAGAAACTTAAAAATCTGATAGCAGAAGGGACATCTTAGCAAACCACTGGGAAAATACAGCTGTTGCCTCGTTCCTATGTCAACAATATTATCAGATGCATGGGTGGGGTTTGGGTGGGTCTTTTTTTTTATTCAATGTTTTAGTTAAAATGGGAGTAGGACTATGCCCTTGGTAACAAACGAGAGCCTGGGAAAAGGAGGAGGAAAGCTTATTCTTGCAGAAATAAGTAACAAAACCACACTCTGATATCATACTATCTGAAGAAAAACCTGTTGCCAGAAAATAAAATGCACAATATACCCTCACATCAAGCAAAGTCTTGGGGCTCAAGATCTTCAGTCTGGAGCTTACACGTGCAGGCAAATCGTTGGCAGAGCACAGTACAACTGGATTTGCTTGCTGCCTGAGAATGATTTATCAGAGGCCGTGGTGCAGACAGGTAAATATAGAAGCCTGGTGACATTTGCTGAACCTTTCTGCAGTGTTGCTTTGGGACATGCAGACAGCCCTTGAGCACGGCATGTACAATTGCAGGGAGGGAGAGAGAAAGCAAGGACACAGCTCTTGGTTTAACGCACGCTTGGCAGATAAAAACACTTCAGCATAGCTTTGCTGTCTGCACCCCTGCTGTCAGGATGTCAAGGGGTTTTTTGATCCCCCTTGGGTGAGTCAGCCCAAGGAGGCAGCAGGCATGCCTGGCACCCGAGCGGGGATGCATAGGCAGCCCTGGTACAGGCTTGGGACCTGCCAGGAGCCCACGTTGCAGTGATAAGCTTGTGACACAGCAGTGATTCGGTTATTGCCTCAGCTACCTAGGTAGGCCAAATAGCTAATTACTTCAGTCACCGTCATGCAAGAGCCGCACGACGTCACACTTCTGTACAGACCCCAGTGGCCAAGCAGCATTTCAAGCACTGCAGACGCAATCCCGCAGCCATTCCAGTTGCTGTGAGCAGGGACGGACGTCAAGTGGGTGCTCCTGTTAAGCCATCACTCATAAAGCTGCAGGTGCTGCCTTGAGCACTAGGGGTCCAGATTTTCCCTGCCGGTGTCTGGCAGGGGACTCTCACGGCAGGGGACGTATGGTTTCTGTCAGACAAAGACAACTATGTTATGTCCAGTGGATGAGGTCCATTGTTGTCATCCAGACAACCTACGTCATACACTGAACATTAAAGCCCAAATCTCTCATCAGGCACGCAATGACAATAAAATCCAAGCACGAGCCAGAAGTGGAAAAAAAATTTCTTTTAATTTCGCTAAAGCTTTTAGTTTTATAGTTTTGACAAGAACAAGGACACGGAAGTGAATGAGAAAGTCACATTCCAGTAACTGGCAGTGAAAGCAGCTGTGTCAAAGCTTTATTTCAATGCAAATATAGATGAGACATTTGGCTTTGTGATTTCAACGGGGCATGTTAATACTTGCTTTTTCAGTCTGCTTCAAGAACCTTACGTATAGGATCCTGAAATCCTATCTATCTCCTAAAAAGCTGCCCTTTGTTGCTGCAACATTTCTGCCATCTGTAATTTACCATAAAGGAACATGTTAATGGGAGGTCAGCCTCTTTTTAGACTTGCAGAGTCAGGTCTTGCAACAGCAGGACTTCTGCTTGCAAAGCCACAGGACTTCTCCTTGCAAAAACGGACGATGAGAGGCCTCGCACAGAAGGACAAGGCGCCCAGAGGAATTCAGAAGTCAGAGGTACAGTATCTCTGCAGAAACATTAAAAGCACTTTTAGACTGCCTGTCATTAAACTACCAGATCAAAAGGACACACCTGGATGCTTTTTGATCCTTTCAGAGAATAACAAGCAACATGAGACAGTCTTAGACTTACGCTTTTTTCCTAATGCATTCCTTAATTTAAAACCCAGTAGACATACTTTCAGATATTGAACAGTCTGCATTTTCATGGGACTGACAAGTTAAAATATCTCTCCAAGGGAAGACAGAAATAACTATTCTTGAAACGCTGAGCAAGTCCAGAGACTCACAACTATTCTCAGAACACCCTTCCTTAGAAACTTCTACATCTGCTAAATAAAAATAACTGTGAACTTAGGCTCTTGTACATTCATTCACTGAACACATTCAAGTAGCATGTTAAAAGTACTTGTCCTTGCAAAAGAAGAAAAGCAAAAGCTTTTTCAAATGCTTATATAGCAAGAAGCATTTTTAATTTATTCTGTTACTATAATAAATTCAACTATATTTGCTGGTCTCCAAATATATTAGAAAGGAACATTCAGAAATAGTCTGTGCTGGGTTAAATGTAATGATCTAATCAACATCTTTATCCCTACATATGTATCAGAAGTGATGAAATTTCCGGTACTACACTGAAATAGCTCATATAAAAGTGACTTAAGCCAAGAATCTCCTGAGATCGCCCTGCATGGGAGTTTCTGCATGAGCCATCATTTTTTAGCCCGTTGCTAATTAAGAAGATCTGGCCTTGTAGCCTACTATTTCGTGGCTGAGGACCTCCAAGGAACTGTATGATCCTCCTTCTCTTTATAGAGAATTTGCAAAGAAATATTGTACCTCCAACTTTCTTAGGCCACATCCCGGTGTTTGCCGGAGTGAGGAGCACTGTGGCTCGAAGGGATGTCCAGGGGTGCAGTCCCACCCACTGCGGTGCGAACCAGGTGGCTGCGGCCACCTTGCTGTGCCCTGAGCAAGGGGAAAATGGGAGAGTGACTGGGAAGATGTTAACTGACCTTTTTCCTGTAGCGTTGAAAGCATCTCTCAAAATTTTGGAAAGTGCTGTTCCTGCTCGTATTTGGAAAGCACAGTAACCTAGCACATTTATTCAGGGCTGGCTTTCTCTGCTGAAAAGGGCTGTGTACTTCACCTCAGGGCAACCGAGCGGCATGAAATATCCTGAGGTAGAAAAACACGGTGAAAACACAATAATTCTGTTACTGCGGATCTGAGCTGCTGAGGCATCAGTGATGGGACAGCATTTTGGACACTTCACCTTGCTGTAGAATTAAAAGCCAGGGCTTTTCTGATTTTATTTTTTTCTTTTTCACTTCAGAATAACTCCTGTGCACTGGTTGCTCTAAGATAAGGACCTTTCACAGGGAGCAGCAGCCGTAATGGAAGATGCATGAATCCCATTCAAATACTAGTGTGAATATTCCCTACAAAGAAAGCTGGAAGGAAATTTTACCAAGTACCGGTAACTTTCACTGTTTACTGACTTTTGTAGACTTCCCTTAAGCTTACTCTTCCTGCACAGGCAGGAGAGCAAGCCCACTGGATTTTTGCTCCAGCCAAGCTGGAACAGTTATAATTCTCGTACCATAACAACACTGCGTCAGGTTTTTTTTTGCATGGGTTTATGTACCCAAAATTCAGCACGCCACAAACTTAAAGCAGTTGTTCACACGAATCTCCTCATGTGTAATCTAGCTTCACACTGCTCGGGCTACACCTGATAGAAACACAGCTTATCCTCCTGGTGAGCTACTGCCAGATGGACTAAATGATGTGTACTGGGCTGGAGAATGGCAAGTTTTGACCTTTAAAGTTAACAGACGTGTAGCAAGCCCAGCATACATGAATTTTCTGCTGTCCTTCAGCTGAAATGTGCAGCTAGCGGGCAATTGTTCATCACTGTGGGACAGGTGTATCTCAGCCTCGACAGGATTTGAAAATGGCGTGTGTTCACCTGCTGTCCTGCAGAACGACAGGACAAACTGCCAAATTCCAGTTGAAACTATGAGGTTTGCACATGCCTGCCCATGTAAATCGACTGACCTTTCCATCTCCATCTTACCGCAGTTCAGAAGGGCAGTGGCATCTGCCGCCAAGCGTGGAACAGAGGCAGTGACCACTGTCCTCTCGATGGCAAGCCACCTTCCCCCAAAACCCCCACTCTGGAGGGACAGCTTTACTGGACGAAGGCAGAGTGGGTGGGATGGGTGAAGTCGCTGCGTGTCAAATCACTGATTTCTTCCCAATTCGTTAAGGCTGATCAGGAAGTCTCACGACTGGATTACTAGGGAAATTCATGGACAGTTAGAACTCCCACATGCACGTTTCCTAGCTCAAGCTAAGGCAAGCTGCTGCAAGAAGAGCAGGCAAATACTGCGTACCACCAAGAAACGTTAAGCGAATGAGTGGGTTCATTAACTGCGCTCAGGATTTTATTTCGACCCCTGGAAGAACTGTGCATTCTTTTAAGTAAAGCGCAATTTACTCTTTAAGTAAAGAGTACTTGACTTTCTGTACATGGGAACCCCGAGCAAAATCTTTACGCACTGCCCACGTCTGGGGCAGTATTTAAGCTCTGCCCAGCCCACACCAGCGCAGGGCTTTCAGAAGCGGGAAGTGCTAGCTCTCCGCAGGCGCTTACTTCCCGTCCGTCCCTTCGGGGCCAGCTGCGTTCCAGCGCGTACCCCCGTCAAGGTGCTTCTGCCCGTCTTAGGGCTGGCGGCACAGACGCTGGG